TGTTGCCCTGGCTGGTGTAGGTCAGTGGACTGAGTGCCAGCCTGCAAGCCAAAAGGTCGCCAGGGCACATGCCTGGGTTGAGGGCCAGGTCCCAAGTTGGGGGGTGTGGAAGAGGCAACCAATCCATTTCTCACATCAATGTTTCTCTGTCTCTCTTTCTCCCTTCCCCTCTCTCTAAAAGTAAATAAAATCATTTTAAAAAACAGATCTTGCAGATGCTAACTAACACCTACTTCCCATTCCAGGCCCAGAGAGGGTGGGAGTGGGTGGGAGGGGCTGGGGAAATGCTTCCCGAGCCATTTGCAGTTTCCTGATTGACCTCCTGGACTTTGTACATGTATCCGGGCACTGTCTCCCCACCAGGTCTGCCTGTTGTCTTCAAGACTGGACAGTATCCTCCCGATTGTTTTCTCTGATTCCATTCTCTGGGCATCTCCTGTGCTTTATCCCTACCCAGTGTTGATTCATTCATTTTTTGAATCAAATATTTACTGAGTATCTCCAATATACCATACACTATTCTATCTGAATATGTATGTAGCAGTTCACAAAACAGCCAAGATTCCCTGTATTCACGGAGCATCAGTTCTAGCGATCATATATTGTATTCTCTGTTCCTGCACCTATTTTTTTTTCTTTTCTATCAAACATGGTGTTCAGCAACAACCACCACAAAACATGGAGTTCTTGGGGCACAGGGACAGGATTTGACTCTTCTTTGTGACCCATGCCCTGGCACTAAGAGAAAACTTGAATTTGGAACTAATGAGTAAATTATAACCTTCCTGTCCTCTTGGCTTACATCATACCCTTTGTGCTGACCCAAGAGGTTGGAGGAAAGGGCACCAAGCCCAGTAACTCTATTACCACTCAAATCAAGACCCTGGAGTTCTTATAAGTTCTGAGGGCTTCTGAAAGGTAGGAGGCAGCTCCAGCTTGTCCCTGGGGTTAGTAACTTGAACTGTAGGTTTCAGGTGACAGCAGCAGCCTCAGCATCAATAATTGAGTGCAGGTCCAGCCTGCCTCACAATTCTTCCCCCCCACCCTCCATGGACTCCCCCCTCCTGTCCTATGCGCCGATCTTCCCCAAGCAGGAGCCTCCAGCCCAGGTAAGCAGGGCCCTTGAGTGTGGGTTCCCAAGCACACCAGTTCAAATTTGCCATCATTCACCTACTCACATACATTCACACATTCCTACTTTCGATTTGAGTTACCACCACCACCACCAACCTCGTAAGGGTCAGATGGTCCAGGGAATGGGACAAGGTGGGGAACTTATCCCTCATACCAGGCTGCGGGGAAGAGGGCAGAGTTACGAGAAACTGTGTATTGTGTGTATCCACATGTGAAGGGACTTCTGAGAAAGAACAGAACAGAGAAATGCAGGGGAAGGGATATAGGACTGGGAAAAAAAAATAGAATCAGTGACTCTTCTCACCCCCAGGGAAATACAGAAAGTCCTGGGGTGAGGACATCTCATCCCAACCCCCTATGGAATGTTTAGATTGCCTTTTACTGAGGCAGAGCAATGACAATGAAGGGGTTTCTGACCGTAAAGCTGTGCTCTTTTGCTACACATAATGGGTCAGAGGAGACCAGGCAGGCAGTGGGTAGAGCTGGAGAAGGATATTGCAGAGGGGAACTGGTAAAACGAGTCCTGAAGATTGGAGACAACAGAGATAAGGAGAAATGGGTGGAGGGAGCAAGGTGAAGATGGGACCAGGAGCCGAAAGTGAAAAGAGGTGGTTTGGGATTGGGTTTTGAGTTTAGCATGGAGTCCTTGAAAGTACATGGGCTTGGGATCAGACCAATTCAGATTCAAATCCTAGTTCTGCTGTGTGACTCTGGAGAAAAGACAGCCTTTCTGAGCCACAGTTTGTAAAATATAGGGATAATAATTACTACTGGTAAGGGCTGCACAAATGGCAGGCAAATGTCAGGTGTGGGTTTCCCTCACTGCCTCCCTCCATCCCAGGACCCAGGTAGGGACCATGTCTCCAGCCATCGCACTAGCCTTCCTGCCACTGGTGGTTACCTTGCTGGTACGGTACCGGCACCATTTCCGACTTCTGGTGCGCAGCGTCTTACTGCGGAGCCTTAGAGACTGCCTGTCAGAGCTGCGGATTGAGGAGCGGGCCTTCAGCTATGTGCTCACCCACGCCCTGCCTGGGGACCCTGGTCACATCCTCACCACCCTGGACCATTGGAGTAGCCACTGCGAGTACCTGAGCCACATGGGGCCTGCCAAAGGTCAGTGTTCCCTAGCATTCTACTGCAGGAAGCACCTCCAAGGTAGTGAAGAAAGAGCTGGGATATTCCACTGCCTTAATGGGTGAACTGCGCAGGTTCTTGATCCACTATGGGTCTCTTTTTATCCTCCTCCACAAATGAGGAGGGTGGGCAAAGTTACTCATTCATCCAGTGAGCATTTATTGCCAACTCTTTTGTAGCAAGCATGTGCTGGGTGCTGGGAGAGAAGGAAGTAGAAGCCACATGGATGAATCAGCCACAGTTACTGGCCTCAAAGGGGATGCAGTACACAGGGGAATAACCATCTCCATACATAACTCAACTTTGTAATATTTCTCTCCCTCACCACAGAAGCTTCTATATCCTACTCAGGGTAGCCATCTGCCTGGATTTGTCTGAGTCCCAGCTCCCAGCACAAGTGCTTTCAGAGTCTTATTTAAGAATTTGGTTCAATTCCAAGGTTAAAAAGATATCTAATGAGCAAAATAAGGGGAAATGAAACTGGAAGTTCTGGCAAAGATCTCTCAGAAGCCTGGGGTTGTTTCTGCCTCGTCCTTCCTGGAGGAAGCAACAGCTGAACTGAGTCTAGTAGGATTGTTTTCAAGTTGGTCAGGCAGATGGGGGTAGGGTTGGGGAAAGGCAAAGCCAGTCACATATACAATGGCAGGAAGGAATTCATCAGAATGGTTGCTCCTGGGCACAGTTATTTGAGACGGCTGTGGTACCAGCTAAAGTTAGGAAGGATTGAGGGCTGAAACTGGAAAGGCAAGATAGGATCAGTTCCAAGGAGGTCGTGAATGTCAGGCTGAGGATTCCAAATTCAAGCCCAAGGCCTTAGGATCAAGGAACCAGGAAGTGATAGTGTCACATTTGTTTTTCAGAAAGATTCCTAGTGGCTGGTGTGAAGACTAGACTGAAGGAGGAAAGCCTGGAGGAGCAGGGAGGCCAGTGGGACAGCTGGGGCTATATATAGTTCAAGAGAGATAAGATCCTAGCTGGTTGGGAGCCGCAGTGAGGCAGGTGGGCATTTGAAATCTCTTTCTGTGGCTTGCCATCATCTCCCATGTCTGCTGCAATGGCCATCTTCTCCCATAGGTCAGATCCTGATGCGGCTGGTGGAAGAGAAGGCCCCTGCTTGTGTGCTGGAGCTGGGCACCTACTGCGCGTACTCCACACTGCTTATTGCCCGTGCCCTGCCCGCTGGGAGTCGCCTTCTCACTGTAGAGCAGGACCCACGTACAGCAGTGGTGGCAGAAAAACTCATTCGCCTGGCTGGCTTCGATGAGCGCACGGTCAGCCCCCATCTCCCTAACCCTGGTCTCTTCCCTTGGCCTTGCTCTGGCCAGGCCTCCCCCGTGAGGGAGTCCCACCTAGGAGAAGGAAGCAGCTCCACTTAGGAAACTGTCATCCTGGAGGCTGTATAAATTCCTGTCCTCCTCTTCCAAGTCATTTGTACATATTTGCTGCTGAATGACAAAGAAGCAGTTAAGAGGAAAGTCTCTGGAGCCCAGAAAATCTGGGTGCAAACCTCAGTCTGTCTCTCATTAGCTATGAGACCTTGGGCAAAGCACTTATCCTCTGAATCTCAGCTTCTTCATTGGTAGAATAGAAATCACAATACAGATCCTGACCTCTTGAGGTCCGAAGCCAGAGGAAATATGAGAACACTGGTCGGGCTAGACCAGGGCCTGGCATAAAGTAAGCTAGATGCTGGTGCCATCTGATGTGGGACAACCCTGGTTGGGTTGTCCCACCCTCACCTCCAGCTCCTCCCACCCCCACAGGTAGAGCTCATCGTGGGTAGCTCAGAGGAGGTGATCCCGCGCCTACGTACCCAGTACCAGCTGAGTCGGGCAGATTTGGTGCTTCTGGCACACCGGCCTCGATGCTACCTGCGGGACCTGCAGCTGCTGGAAGCTCATGCTCTGATGCCTGCTGGTGCCACTGTGTTGGCTGACCACGTGCTCTTCCCTGGTGCGCCCCGCTTCCTGCAGTACGCCAAGAGCTGTGGCCGCTACCGCTGCCGCCTCCACCATACTGGCCTCCCAGACTTCCCTGCCATCAAGGATGGCATAGCCCAGCTCACCTACGCAGGGCCTGGCTGAGGTCCAGGCCCAGGAGTACTTACTGCTGCCCTACCTTACCCCTACCCAAGCAAGGACCTCAGAACATTCCTTCCCCTCCCTCCTTGTGGCCTGACAAGTGCTGAGCTCAGGGTTGGGGAGGCTCTTCTCCTACCTCTGCCCCACTCACCTGAGGCATCAAGGTCTGTCAGGCTGCTTGGTTCCATTGCTTTCCCTCCTTCCAGAGAAAGCCATGAACTGACAGGCAAAAGGCCTGAGCTCCCACCCCAGCTTTGTCACTGATTTGCTGGGTGATTTCAGGGGAGTCCCTGCCCTGCGCTGAGACTTAATTTGCTCTCTTAACACCAAGGAAGCTGGCTGGGAGAGTTCCAGGGGCTTCCCAGCTCTGGACCTCAGAAAGCCTGCCCTCCCGAGCCCATGCCATTGTGGACAGGATTAAAAGAAACAGTGAACTCTGAGGTAATGGCCCTGCAGGAATGACTGATGCAATGGTGCAAGTGGGGCCAGAGGAGAGGGCAATGCAGCCAGGTCTTCCTCCTGGCCTTCCCTAGCCCTGGCCCACGTGGCCAGGTAGGTTTGCCTGAAGTCCTCTGAATGACCTCTCCCTAAAGCTCAAGAGAAGATGCTGGATTCCTCTGGGCCCCACCGACAAATAGGGAATAGACATGGGGGGAAAATCAGTCCTGTGTCTTTATTAAAGAGAGTTAGAAAGAGACTACACCTGGCAACCAAAAGGTGAGGTACTGGCCAGAAAGGTGGGGTGGGCTCCGGCTCCTGGGATTCAAGGGCAGGCTGATGACCTGGGAAGGGCCAAGGAGACCAGGTCCTGGCAGCAGCTGAAGAGGTGCCTGAGGGTGAGCTTTCAGGCACTGGGGTGATCAGCTGGTTCTGCAGGGGTTACAGGTAGGTTACGTTGGCCTGGACTCTCCCTGAGGCCACCATGCCTTGTCTACTTAGATCATCCACTGGTCCTGATCCTGTTCGTTGCCTTCCATGTCCACCTGGAGAGGAGGCTGGGTGTAGGTGGGGAGGGGCCTCAGCCACCCAGCCAGCCCCAGTCCCAGATCCTGCTCCTGACTGGATCCAAGGTTTCTATACCCCTTGGCCACTACTTAGGTCAGGGGCAGGGACCCAGGAGCAGAGGCCTTCCCCACACCTCTGCCTACCTCATTGACCTCTCCATCATCAGGCGACTCATTGTAGTCATTCATCTCGTCCATGTCCTGCATGTCCTCGTCATCCTCTGAGTCCTCTTCACTATCCTCGTCATCATCTTCATCTTCCTCTTCCTCATCATCATAGTGCTGGTGAGGCAGGGGAGAGTCTGTTGGACCAGTTCAGGGCTGGCCCACTTGGAGCCTCTTTTTGGAACCAACAAATTACCCCCACTCCCTAAGCCTGCCCTGCTTAAGATGGCAGGCTGATGCATGGTTTGCAGGACCTTAGTTCTAGGTAGGCCCAATGCCCACTCCCTCTAGCTCCTGACTCTGGACTCAGAAGCAGGACCTTTGGAATTAGAGCAGAGCCTTAGTCCATCTGGGGCCCACTCACCTCTGAAGCTGGCTTGCCAATAGGTACCAGGTTGTTGTCTTTCTCTGCAATGCTCTGGAGCTGTGATCAAAAGGGAAGAAAAACAGTGCAGGGCCCAAGAGAGAAGGTCACAGCACGGGACTGGACCATGTTGCCCCCCAAGAAGATACCCAAGTGTGAAGGAGAAGCTTCCTTCCAGTTCTCAGGAAGATCCGATACCTTTTTCTCCTGTCATCTGCCACTTACTTAGTAACTTGATGCAATTACATATACTCTCTAGGCCTTGGTTTCCTCATAAAATTATGGTGAGAGTAAAGTGAGAGACTATCAGCCTAGAACATGGCATCTGCTAAGTCTTTAATAAATAGTCAAAAATATTATTTCCTATGCCTTAGGGAAAAGTGATGCGGAATCCAGCCCACAGTGTCAAGGCGTTATGGCTGAGATGAGACAAATTCACACAGACTACCGAGTCCTGTGGAGGAAAAGGGACAGCATGGCCACTCTCTCAAGGGGAAAGTGCCCCGACCCTTGCCTTGACAAACTTTTACTGGCTTAATTTGCACAGGAATACAGGGCGTACATGGAAAGCTCATCAATCATTGTCAGGCAGTAATGATCAATAGATAACATTCAAAGAACTCTGAGGGCCTATTTTGAGTCAGGGTCAAATAGTTAAAGGGTCATAAAACTTTGGGAAACAAACTCATTTCATGCTTGGACCCTTATCATTTAAATTGAGGGTGTTAGCAAAGTAGGCTTCACAGGATTTTATGCATTCTTTCTTAGACCTGATTGCCCAGGGAAACCGCCCTCTGGCATTGTTTCAGGCTTAAGTCAAGCAGGGGAAGTAAGGCAGCCAAGAGATTAGGACACTTCTTGCAGACAGAATTAGGACTCAGGCTATGTCAAAGCCGAGGGGTGAGGGTCCATCACCCCCTTTCTCCATAGCCCCTCAAGTCCTTCCCTGAGGGCCCCCTTGTGACCATGCCTGTCTTAGGTTGTCCCTCCCTTGAAGACTCTTACCCATCACTGGCTAACCGGTCATGCACCAGGAACCAGACAGGGTGAAGTAAAGTGGGCAGAGGTGGTGCTCCTGCCAGGGGGATAAACTTTGTCTTCTTAGTGACTTAGGGTCCCAAGGTCTCTCACTCAGCCTTAGTCATGGGGCGGGGGGGGGGGGGGGGATTGGTCACAGCTTCTAAAACCAGGCAGGGTGGTTCCCAACAGAAAAGAGCCTGGACTCCAATCTGGCCCAGTGGTCCCATGGTCCCCCAGCAAATTAAGGTAACAAAAAGATGAGAACCTAGCTCCCTGCTTCCCCTAAACCCTGCCCAACCCCAGCCTGATTATTCTCAGTTCAAAGCAAAAAGCTCCTCCAGGGCAGGTCTCAAGACTGGGTCATGGCCAGTGAAAGGGGGATTCCCTGACTGAGCTCCACCACTGTGCTGGGCTCTCACTCACCCAGGCCTGATGCTGCTGTTCTTGCTGCTGAAGCTCTGTCTCTTCCACACAAGGTCGATCCAGATTAAACCACAGAGTCTCAGTCACACGGGGAAAGAGTGAGGGAAACAAGGTGGACATGGCTCCTAGACTGAGAGAAAAGGTCAGGTGAATCCAGCTCTCAGATGTACTTGGTTTTGGCTTTTTTTAGGTTACAGTTCAATTTGGGGGTGGGGTGGAGTGGAAGGAAGCAGGGAAGCAGCTCTTCCTTGTAGGAATCAGACAGACCTGGGTTTCAGTCCTGGCTCCACCACTTACTAGCTGTTTGACCTTGACCAAGTCACTTAACCTCTCTGAGCCTCAGTTTCCTCATCTGTAAAGTGGGGATAATAACAATTATACCATCCTCACAGTTATTCTGATCATCAAGTAAGGTCATTTACTTTATGGCAAAGTAAAACTGTAAGCTGTTCAAGGAGGAAAGAGAATAGAAGCCAAATATAGAGATAGGAATCCAAAATACACACTAGCGTTACAAAATTAGAAGTATTTCAGGGCTCTACTGAAACTGTCTCTACCTCCTCCAAACACTAAGATGTACTTTTTGCATCTCTGTGATGGTCCATACATTATCCACCCAGTGTCAGAAATTTAGGACACTAATCACCTCTCTCACAAACCACAGCCAAAGTTTGGGGGGGGTGCGGGGATGGGCAGGCATGCAAGTATGGTTCAGTAAGACATTCTAAAAAGACATGGGTAAATGTACAAGCAGATGGAAAGTTGAATGGGTGAACTAACGTGAGAGAACAAATAAATTCAGCTCGGATCAAGCAGTTGAGGGAGTTGACTAGGAAGGTTCCAGGGAATATGAATTAAAACATTTCCGCGCCAGGAAAACTGAGGCCCAGAGACTAACAACGGCTGGGCTCTGGGTCACACAGTGAATTGCGACACATAACTCTGGCTGGAGGAGACCCAGGCCGGGTACTAGCGATGAGCAGGAGAAAAGGATCTAGGTCTAGCTCTGCTCTGCCCTAATTTATTTGACTGATCCGGGTCCAGCCTGCCCTTCCGTAGACCTCAGCTTCCCAGCCAATGTAACAAGTAAAACAGCACCATCCCTCGCGTCCCAGCACTGAGAGGCACAGAAACCAAGCTCCGAAAACCCAACCCCTCACCGCAAAGCCACCGCCCATTCTTTGCTTATTATGATAATGACCCTGAGGTTGACCAACAGAAAGAAGGCAGAGGCGGGATTCGGAGAGGCACCTTATAGGGTTGCTAACAGAGAAAGGAGCGGGGCTTGAATAGGGCCAATTAACTGGAAGAAATGCTGGGTGACAAGAAGTGACACCAATGAATGACGGATCTTGTGTGACGGGGTGGAGCTTAGTCTCGCGGAAGCGGCCAATGAGATGGCGCTCTTTAATATAAAAAGGAGTCTGAACACACAGCTCCCGAGGAGGCGGGTCAGGGGAATGGAGTTTCTCTGAGGGAGGGAGGAAGGGGCAAGGAGACAGCAGACGCAGTCCTGCTTCTGTACTTACCGCGCCGGGAGGAGGCTGCCGGCAGCGACCCGGAAGCACTTCTTTCCGCCTGAGCGGAAGGACCCACCAGAACCTGGGACACACCAAACGCATGCGTCATTGGCCTTCTTTTGTTTCCCGTTCCCGCCTACCAGACCGGATGTGACGTTATGCACCTTAGTCACGTTGTTGGGAGATGGAAATTTGTCTAGCTTACTGTTGGTCCCGCCTTGAAACTCAGCCAATCCGCCTCTCCAGTCTGCTGGCCCTTCGCCCCCAAACTCGCCCCCAGCCCCGCCCCACCCGCCTGCCAACCACTCCATTTAACCCCGCCCTTCTGCCTACAGAGTGTCTGTGACCTTGCCAAACCCCCTCTGAAAAACATCTGGGAGCCACCTGAGTTCATAGTGATCCTGATCATTCTGCTGCGTACTAGGAAAATTAGTCTGCTTCTGACGCTCAGTTTCCCGTTTGGGCGCATACATTCATTTATGTATGCCTTCAGCGGAAATATTTAAGTCCAACTGTAATCCAGACTCTGCATGTAGCTCGGGATAAATCTAGGAACATGGATCCTGCCTCAAACACCCCACAGTAGTGGGGAAGCCCGACTCTGCAAACCAGCAGTGGTCTCACTTGTCTCTGTATTTGAGATTATGTAAGGGCTTAACCAACTAGTTAGCCTCAGGCATTGCTGAATTCCTCTGCTGCTGAGGAATTCAGCTGCCCTTTTCAGACCAGGGCCAAATTCGCTTAATGGTCAGCCTCGTCATCTCTCCCACACCTTTGCTGGTGTCTCTGTTCTTGTAACCTCTGACTCACCCTCCCTTTCAGAGAACCTCATGCCTTCCTGGCAAGAGGTCTTTGAACCCACTCCCATTAAACTCCACCTCTCATCAGCCTCTTCCAGGGCCAGCAAAACACAAATACACTCCTACCCCAACAAGACTTTTTTTCCCCCTGGAATGTTTCTTCAAATGGCATCATAATCTCTGACCAGCCTTCCTCCTAATCTGGACTGATGTCACTCACGCTTGTGAGATAAATCTTTAAGAGGTCGTACTGCATTTTAAAGCAGCTCTGCTTGTTATAGTTTTTCATTAATGAGTAAAATTTACCTCTTGGAAATGACCACCCTATTCATTCATTCATTCATTCATTCATTCATCAAATACCTATTGAGTGCCTCACTATATGCCTGTAAATAGTCTAAGTAGTGGATATACAATAGTGAACAAACAGACCAAAAAAAAAACAAACCCTCTCTCCTCATGCAGTTTCCATTCTAATGAGAGAGAGAAACAATAAATATGAATAAAATATATACTGTAGTTTAAGATTGCAGTTAATACTACAAAGTCAAAATAAATCAGAAAAGTGGGAGAAAAAAACACAGTGGCAGGAGGAGAGGTTTCATTTTGGATAGGGGAGCCAAGGAAGAAGAAAATGAAGAGAGAGAGAGAGAGAGAGAGAGAGAGAGAGAGAGAGAACACTATTCTGATATTTAGGGAAGAGCATTTCAGGGACAGCAAGTACAAAGGGCTTAGAAATAGCTGGAACACAGTGTACCTTGGGATGGGTAAGAGAATACTGAGAGGTAGCAGAAGCCAGAGAGCACAGCCTTTCAGGTCACAATAAGGACTTTGACTTTTACCCCATGTTTAAGATCCTGAGAAGGGTTTTGAGTAGAGGATCTACAGAATCTGATTTCTATTTTAGCAGAGTTACTCTGGCTAGTCTATGAAGATTAGATTTATGAGGGGCAGTAGAGTAAGCAGGGAGACCAATTGGGAGCCTGTTGTAATAATCCAGAGGTGGGGGATGAGAAATTATTGAATTTTAAATATTCAGGTGACCCAGAATAATGCAGAGCTTGGAACCAGCCCATGAAGAGTTGAAAAACTGCATATACCTTTTGACTCCTTCAAAACTTAAATTGTCCCTCAGTATCTGCAAGGGATTTGTTCCAGGACCACCCCCACCCCCAGACACTAAAGTCCCCACAAATGCTCAATTCCCCTATACAGATCAATGCCTATAGTTGGCCTTCAATACCTACAGATTCCCACCCGTGAATAAAACACACTACTGGTATTTACTTTAAAAAATCCACGTGTAAGTGGACCCATGCAGTTCAAATCCATGTTGTTCAAGAGCCAGCTATATTTAGAAGGTAGACATTAACAATGTTTGCTGACAGACTAGAGTACCAGAGGAAGAAAGGAGCCAAGATTTTTGGCTTGAACAACCAGAAGACTGGCACTGCCACTCTTTGAGATGGGAAAGATAAGAGAAGTGCTAATTTTGGAAAAAACTATCTGGAAATCATTTCTGAGTGTGTTGGGTATGAGATTCATTAGACTAGAGTTGTTGAGGGGGCAAAGGGGTATATGAGCCTGAAAGTCAGGAGAGAGATCTAGGCTGGAGATATCACTTTGGGAGTCATCAACACACAGATGGTATTTAAAGCCATGAGTCTGGATGAATTCATCAAAGGAGTGAGTGTAGATGGAAAATAGTTTCCTTCAAGATTCAAAATTTGAGGAAACTAGGAGAAGCAGCAAACCAGACTGAGACAGAGAGCCAGAAAGATAGGAAAGCCTGGCATGTTGGATGGTACCCTGGAAGACAAGTAAAGAAGGGGCATCAAGAAGGAAATAGTGATCTACTACAGCTTGTTTCTGCACAAAATTGTGTTTCTATGTTTCCCCAACAGACCATGAGCTCCTCGAGGGCACTGGACCCCTTATCTGCTCCCCTGTGATTTATGTCCCCGTTAGTTTCTCCTCCTGCTTCTTTTCCTTACAGGATCCCTCCCTCCAGCACCCTTTGCTTCCCTTCCTTCCTGACAGCTCTGGCCTGATGGAAATTCTCTAGTAACCTAGAGTTTCTTACTAATTTCTTTTTTTTTTTTTAATTAATTTATTTTTTTTTTTAGAGAGGGAAGGGGGGGGCAGAGAGAAAGAGAGAGAAACCCTGGCTGGGAATCGAACCTGCGATGCTTTGGTTCGCAGCCCGCGCTCAATCCACTGAGCTACGCCAGCCAGGGCTTCTTACTAACTTCTTAAGACAGCTAACAAGTCATGGTGACTGGTTACCTGGAGGAGGGGAAAAGGGAGAGAGATAACTGGAAATTTTGAATAGTTGCCCATTTTGGGCTCTGGCAACTGAGTCAATGATGGTGGCATTTGTTTTACATTAATTATTTATCCTTGCCAAATGTTTGACTTTCTTTCATTTCAAGGATAATAAAACTTAGACTCTAAGAGGTTAAGTAATTTGCCTCATATTCCTTTATTTCACTGTTTGTTCAACATTTACTCAGTGCCAAGTAAGTGCTAGACACCATGATAGGCCTTTGGACAGAGAGATTAAGCAGAAATAATCCCTGTCCTATAGAAAAATACAGTGTAGTGGGGACACAGAGACAATTATAGAAGACCATAATAAATGTTAGAATCAATGTATGTAGAGAGTGTTATGAAAGCACAGAGGAGGGAGAGATGAATGAGTTCTGGATAAACTGTGTTTATGTTTGAGATTAGACTTTTGTTCCAAGAAAGGAAACATTTGAGTGGACTTTGAGAAATGAATAAGAGTTCACTGGGTAGATAAGT